ATGAATGCTCAATTCACGAGTTCACACCCACAGATATTTGACTGAATAGAATATGCATATTTGGCGTGCTGTCTAGGGAGAGGGCTCTGAGCTAGGAAAGACACCCCAAGTCGTGTTATTCTCCTTATCAGGATGAAGAGAGATAAGGTCCGAGCGCAGTGTCTAACCCGGTTCCAGAACGCTTCCCCCTCAGATTTAAACAGGTCTAGTTTAACAATGTGGAATTGGGGTGGTGGAGGGACGCTGAAGTCAAGAGAAAACAGAGGTATGACGTGTTTGACTATTTATCGGGTTTGCTCTTGAGCTGATTGGATAATAGAATGATTATGGCCTATAGGTCTGTTATTTATTTATATATTATTTGAGTTTATCACCAAATTTATAGAAACTGGAAAAAAAAAGGTACAGTATTGGGATTGGATCTCAGAATTCTGAGTCAATACTCAGAATTTTGGTATCGGAATGGTTCCAAAAAATGGTATCGGTGCATCCCTAAACATTAAAGTAATATTGATTTAAATAAGAGTTTGATCACCAAACATGATTAAGAGAACATTACAAAAAATAAAAACAAACATTTAAAATAAATAAAAAGAAATTACAAACTGCAAATTTTGTAACAGAAATTTGATTCTTTTGATTTTACCTCTTTATTTATTTTATTTAGTATTTTTCCCTATATTATACTAACATGTTCCCACATATTAGTTTGGATAGATTATATTTTTGCACCATAATCTAAAATAATTTAGCAAAATTAGCTGTAGTTTTGGCTCTGGTACTTAGGCCTGTCACAATAATCAATATATTGACTTACTGCACAACACATAACCTTGATAATTTCTGGTGATGCAATATATGTCACCCATACATTAAAACCAATTCTACCAGTGCAACATCTCTATCAGAGGTCTCGGTTGTCAGTGGGGTCAAAAAAACACACTGTAGTATTTACCATAAATGAATATAGTACAATTTCATGTAGGCGATTGACAACAGAAAATATATTTGGTAACAGATATCACAACCTCTGGTATTTTTTACCTTTCACTTTATTTATAACATTTATTATTATTCATTTAGGATATGCGTTTTCACGATCTGATTCCACTGCCTAATTATTAAAAATGACTATCATTAAATTAAATATTTTTAAGAATAAAATATAATGTGTTCTTTAAAAGAATGTACTTGCATTGTGATGATATTATATTGTCATACAGGCATTATATAATGAGTGGCATAAAATGAAAATAATTTAGTTTAAAATCGCAATATATTTTAGTGCAGTGGTGCTCAACCCTGCTCCTGGAGATCGACCTCCCTGCAAAGTTCAGCTTCAACCCTGATCAAACACACCTGGGGTCCGTTCTTCGTACCTCGCTTAAATGATCTAAGATGATTTGGCAGATCCTGGATCTTTTAATCTTGATAACTTCTCTCGCTAATTTGGTTCTTCAAACAAGTTCGCGAATCAGATTAGAATGTCTGGATGAACTGATCTGAGATCGCTGCGTGTGTTATGAAGGACAGATCTATCGATCCTCGAAATCATGATCAGCAATGCAACGATTGGCTGACGGCACAGCAGCGTAATGACATCATCTGATTAATATTCAATTATCCATGTGAGCTAAATTACATCAAATTAGCAGTCGACGGTTTGTTAAATATGACACGCAAGAACTTTACACATTTGTTGTGAGCTGCAGGCTTTACTCTTTCATTTGTCAAGACAAGAGTATTCATCATGTATTTCAATGAAAATCAATGTATTTAGTTGTACATTTAGAAAAGATTTTCTTTATTATAGTAGCCGTTTTTTAATCGGTGTAAAGAATAACTGGTTGTTTACAAAAGCATTTTCATATTGGTAAAGGTGTCTGCAACTTTTGTGAAGCATCAAATCACTGGCATATTAACTATCAAAATATGTTTATGACTGCATAAATGTATTATTGCTTTAAAAAAAGTCACATATTGTGCATTTCTATTATACACAATTTGTACTAAAGCGATCTAAAAAGTTCAAATCAATAAGTTTTCTCTTTGCACCAGATGGCAGTCTTTGTACTTTCATTTCGAGGGTGCAGATTGCATAAGTTTTATTAATATGTATAACTTTATTTATTTTATTAATGACTATAACTTTATATATATAGTTAAAAAATATGTACCATTTTCCCAAGTGTATATAACTACTACTGTAAGAAAATATCAGAATTCGGAACATACTTTCTGTATTATCTTTGCTTGAACTGAGCCGATCTAATCCTGTTTATATGAATTAAACCTGCTCCCGATCAGGTTTGACCTAGCAGAACTGTTGCCATGACAACAACTCTGGGATCAGCTTTGAAGAACGAAACGATCCTGGATCGTGTCAAATCGTCAACATCCAAATCCAGCTAACTGAGTAATCCACGTACGAAGAACGGACCCCTGAACCAATTAATTAGGACCTGAACAGCACTTTATGATTTCAGGCAGGTGTGTTTGATATGGGTTGCAACTGAAATCTGCAGGAAGGTCGATCTCCAGGAACAGGGTTAGTCACGCCTTTTTTAATGGAATATATCGTACAGCATAAAATAGATATCAAACTACTGGTACTGACTAATATAATCTAATATACAGAAAATACATTTTTGTATCATATAGAGAAAAAAAAATCAATTTTAAAGAAACATCTCCAAGTGGTGTACTATGGGTTCTCCTCTTATGTAAAAGATGACACTAAACTTTGAATTTTCAAAAATTTGAATTTTGAATTTGATTTGAATTTATTAAAAGGAGCAGAACTAATTCAGATTTGAACAGAAGCGTCAAAGCGTGCAATAGTCTACTATAAAAGGTGCAAACTCTACAAAGATTTGCAACCTTAAAAGGAGTCCATAGACTATTAAAATAAATTGTCTATTTTTGCACAAACGTGTGAGAATTTTAGTGACTTTTCCACATGCAACATTATGTATTGTACACAGTTAATGGCGTTGAATACTACCGTTTACAAACTGCAGTGGCACCGCCAGTATTTTGGAGCCAAAGTATCACAATACTACCATAGTACCGATAAACACTATGAACACACACACTATGAAGTTTGCCACACCTCCGGCAGCTGCATACTACACTGTTCTGAGCGCTTCACAGTTCATTCACCAAATATGTCAGCATCTACACTTCGCAGAGGACAACACCCAATCACGACTTTTCAAGGGTTACATTTATTGTGTGATCGGCCAGCATCTGCTCTAGGGTAATTGCAAAGTGGCCTAACTGCCATCTGTTTGATGATTTAAAGTTCACATGAATCTTTGGTGCTGACATAAGAAAAATAACACTGTGTTCTGCATAATGTGAATAGTTGACATCGATCAAAAAACGTCACGGCAGAGCATTAAAGTCGACTAGTTGGTTAAACCGCTGCTATCAATGTGAAATTCCAATTTTACATTGTCTTTTTTTATTTTTATTTATTTATATATTTTTGGGGGGAGGGGGGGGTGTTATGCTGTTGTATTTGCACTGTCTGTATTTTGCAATGCCGCTGTATTTGCACCATCTGTATTTTGTACTTTCTGGAGCCAGCACCTAAGCTTTTCACTCATCAGAGCACATGTGCTGCTGATGATGTGACAATAAAAGTGATTTGATTTAAACTGGATTGTTATGATACATTCTTTGTTTATTCATTTATTTATTCCATTATTTAATAAACCCGATGCATGATGAAGTTTCCCTGGTTCTAACAAAATCTTAGGTTGGAAGTGTAGGTGGTAGTGGTAGTGTTGATACATAATGCAAATACTCATATACTGTACAAACATCCTCAAGAATGGTCTTAACTGCAGAAGTCAATTATTAAAACAATGTTATCCATTAAATAATTGACAAAAACCTAGCATTACCTAGCATAACTAAACCATTTACTCACACTCAAGTGGTTATGAAGTTGGTCAGAATAATAAATGTTTTAATTTGTTATGGTTGAAAATAAGGTTTCCACAACCAAATGTTGCTGTTTTTGCCATGCTTAGGTTAAAACGTTATCTAAATGATGTATTCGATAGGGTACACATAAAAAATAAACAAAAAACTTTAAATGACAATATAGTTTTTTTTAATGTTTTCAGAGATGTTTATGTACATTTGACAACGTTTTATAGCACACCAATGACTTTAAAACTTTTTTTTAAGTTACATAACAATAACAAAAATAACAAAATTATTAACTGTACATAACAATGATATTGTTATGTATTCATGTTCTGATTTTTCTATTAAAGTCTGCACTCACTATGTTTGTATTTTATACTGGAAGCACCCATCACAAAGACAAATTCCTTGTGTGTGCAAGCCCACTAAGCAATAAAGCCCTTTCTAATTCTGTATTCTGAATAACTCTGATTTTCATAATTAAAGTTAAAAATCCCACTTCTAAAATGTTAGTAGCAGTAGTAAAATCTATCTTCATAATATAGTTTCTTGAGGCCAAAACTGTGATCACCACGTAGTGCAGAGATTTACAACACATGCTAAAACAGTCAAACGTTTAAAGTAAATTGCAATAGTCTAGGCTTAAACAATGTTGAAAGAGGAATCTAACATAAATAATTCACAAAATAACAACAACAAAAAATGCACAAAATAAAACTCATTTATAAACACCAATTGTTTTGGTTTTGATAATAGAAAGCAAATGACACAAACATCACGGATCAACTATCCTCATAAAAGTTCACTGTTCAAGGGTACTAAAGCAAATCACATAAAACAAGTTTTAACTTCGACACTAATCTTTGAGAACCAAAAGAGATGACAAACACAATAGACGACCTTTAAGTAATATCAATCAAATGACCCAAACTGAACTTTGCGGATCTAAAAATTAAAGTCCAACGTGTTTATTTACCTACTCCAATGTTGTTTGTGTCGTTAAAAAAGCTGTTAAATGTCAAAATAGCAAAGTGGACAAGTTCAATGTCATCATATCTCACCTGTTCCCCGAAGTCGATGGCTATATTAGTTATGGCCAGTGGCAGCAAAAAGCGAATAAGGGGCCAGTACGCAGTTTCTGATAAACAGTCCTTCATGATGAAAATGATGGTGATGATAATAATTAAGGCATTCGTCCCCGGCAGGCTGCACTGAAGATTTGCTTATGGCTGGTGGCTTCCTGCTGCCTGAACTAAAACAGGAGAAACTGGAGACATTTTCGGTACCCTTCCTGATAAGATGAGAAGGTCATCCAAACATTTCGCATTATATCATGATGTGTTTCGCCCGCGAATTAAATCTCACTGTCATGAAGTGCTGATGTCGGAAAGCGGCGTTTTAGCTTCCATCAGGCTGAAGAGCTGGTGGCTGCGTGTGTTCGCGCGTGTCTGTTATTTATTCTTGTGCAGAACACACGTGGGGCGTCACAACACCAATCCTTCCCCAGCTGTTCACGTCAGTCTACTGACCTACGCTGTGCTATTAATCTTAAAAGTTGATTTTATTTTTATACATATTTTTCAGTTTATTTTGTATCTGTTTTAGAGCAATGGGGTTAGAATAAGAAAATGCGTTAGTGAGTTGGAATGGAAAGTTATGTTTATTTTGTTTTTTAAATATATGCTGCCCTCTACTGGAGGCTATTTAAAGAAATTGACAGGGCAACTCAATGAATCAACATGGAAACACAATTATGTGCAATTACTTGAAATATTAGTTTATAAATCGCATAAATCAATATAATACAATGTCTGGGGGTACTGTTATAAGCCATTTATGTTAAATAGAAGCTCTATAGGCTTTTAGAGTCATCAGTGACTACACCTTGTTACTGTTTAGCAGGGTCAGAGCCAGACTGTTAAAAGGTGTGGGTCTTTTTTTCTCAAAAAGTGGACCTTTTGCTTAAGTTTCTATTAAATCATGAGGTTAAAATACAAAATTTTAGTGACTTTTTAGGAATTTTTTTATAAAACATTTTTAAATATTCAGATGACATAGCCATACTAAGTGTACTTTATGTAAATTATGATATTAGTGTTATCTACCAGTCGGAAATTAGCCGGTTCGATTGGTGTGATAACAATAAGTTAAAAATAAATACTAAGAAAACAGAAGAGATGGTATTTGACCCATATGTGACAATCATCAAGTGGTTGTACACAACCATCTTCAGTCAGAAACCTATAAGTACTTAGGCATTGATATAGACAGTTCTTTTACATGGAATACATAGAGTGGGTTTGTTCTCGTTTACACCAGAGATTTTAAGAACGGAGGTTTTGTCTTTTTGGAGTTGACAAGAAGCTCATGATGTTGTTTTATAAAGCTGTTCTTGAAAGCATTGTCAGGTATGGTATGACAGTGTGGTTTGGCAATCTTTTCAGTGTAAATCTAAGTTTATGCATCTCTTAAAGACAGGATGGAAAATTGTTGGGCATGATGAATATTTTAATCCTCAAGTTTTATATGAGAATTGTGTCCTCAATCAGGTGGAAAGGATTCTAAAGGATCCAACTCATTTTTTGTTTTCACATTATGAACTGTTTCCCTCTGGTAGGAAATATAGAGTCTCAAATTGTAGGTTGAACTGTGATAAGAAATCGTTCCAGTTTTAATGGGTTTATTTAATAAGAGTTTATCTTAATTAGCATTATAAATTTTCTAATTACGGTATTTTTGTATTGCTTTTATTGCTTGTTTTTATGGAATGTCGGCAGCAATGGTGATGCCCATAACACATTTCCTGTCAAGGACAATAAAGTTTACTACTACTACTATTTAAAACATTTTAATCTTGTCAGATGATGATCATCATAACCATACTTTCTGACGCAAGAAAAATATTTCCTACAATTTTGTCAAAGTGCTTACCGTACAATTTTACCACAAGGTGTTTATTTACAAATGTACATTTTAACTGTAAGCTATTCGTTTTATAAAAAATTGTTTTGAAATTAGAATTTCAAATTAATAATTTTGAATAAAGAAATATGAAAAATACTTATTTTTAAAATACTAATTTATTATCATTCATCATTAAAGCAACTTATTAGAAATCTGTTAAAACTTGTTTAAAAAAAACTGTACCCTATAGCCAATTAACAAGCTGGACAGCTCATTTCCTTGATTTTGAATTTGTCCATTTGAATAATTAAAAATTTATTTAGTCTTAATGATTTCTCCTATTGATTATTTTAACAATACATGATGGCATACTATTTAAAATGGGACAAATGAGCTTATAGGGGCCAAATTCTGGACTTCATCAGTGGGGGTTTGGGGTCTTTCGAACCGCATAAACCCCCCTGACTACGGGATTACTACAAATTTATTTAGGCTGTAAAAAAATATTTTGGTAATTGTCCAACTATGACTTTCTGAGAAAATATATTGATTCTGTCATGTTAATTTTGACAATTTTGATAATACTGTCATCATTTTTTTTATTATTGAATGCTTGAAAAACATTAACAACAAATGCCATCAATCAAACAACAACAATCCAGGGGTTTTCAGTCATTTAGTCCAAGATAAGTGCCAAGTCCTTCATCAAAGTCCTTGTTCGTATTGCTTTAAAGTTTGTTGATCCCTCAATACACTTAAAATACATTTTAATTTTAAATTTAGGAAAAAATAAGGTTTACACTTACAAAACTTGCTCTTGTGAATATGAAATTTGGCCAACAAAAAAAAAAAGAAAAGGTTTATGAAATAAGTATTATTTTGCTTTTTGTATTCATGGAAACCAAAGATAACATTCTTACATGTAAATAAAAAATCTGCCTTCACATAATCTTTTATAAAATCAAGAACATCACACCAAAATGTCATGGAATGAGAGCAATTCCAAAATAAATGAACAGAAGTTTCAGGATTCACTAAAAAAAAAGAGCACTTGGTGTTAATATCATTCTAAAGCCTTTTAAGATTACACTTGTCTGGATAGCATCTATGAATCAGTTAAAAGGTAACTTCTCTTATTTTGTTTGTTATAAAAAGTTTGCGGAGTAATGACCAAACTTTCTTCCAGAAAAAAATCATTCACAAAACCATTCCAAGATGACATTACATAAGGCACAGTAACAGAATCTTCCTGAAACAGGGCTCTTATTTTCTTATTACATTTTGATTAAGATAAAGAAAGGCGCGTATTTACCAATAAATGTTTTCTAAAGGTCCACTGAATGATAAGTAATTGGAAATGAATTTAAAAGCATAAAAACACCTTGTGGGATAGCATCAGCAACAAATAGCAAAGTCTGTTGGGCTTATAGGAATTCAAAGCTTAACTAAAAAGTCAGAGTAGTTACAAAGTAAACCCCTATCATTGAAAAGTAGAGACACAAAAATTATATCAGTTTTAAAGCAGTTATTGAAGAATAGAGATTTGTTTTATGCAAGATGTTATTATTATTCCAAATGATATACAGTATGAATCAGGTGTAAAATTGTGTTTAAACAAAGACTATAGAATACAAAGGGACTTTGGTTCAAATATGAGGGATCAAGCTAATAACATTTGCCTATGAAAATGGGACAATTTTATGAGGATTTTCATAATATTATAATATAATTAATACAATTTTTAATCCACCTAATTTGGAAAAAAATACATTAGGGATCAGATTTCATATAGACAATGGGTTATTAAGACAGTTCTTTATACAATTTATTTTAAAGGTATGGTTTAAAGTTGTGAAATCAAGAAAGTTTAAGCCACCTTTATCTACAATATTCATGAGTACAGATTTCCAAATAAAATTAGTTTTATTCTTCCGGTTGAATCAACATTTAAAGAGAGAACAGCGTATGTTAACCTTGATAAACCTTCAGATTTAGCTACTAAAATTATACCCTTTACCCTTTCTTTGTTTTAATTATGCAAAACTTGGCCACACCTGATAGTTATCATAACGGGCCGTTTTCACGCATGCGGGATTGGAATGCGGAAGAACCTTTAGTTGCGTAAAGCGGTTTCCGGTCTAAACAACAATGGCTGAAGCAACGTCGAGGTGTCACTGTAGCGTCCCTTATTGCTCTAGCAATAAGCGTCGTCAACCATATCTGAGTTTTCACGCGTTTCCCAGCTGTAAATATGACAGGAAGAAGTGGGTGCATGTCATTCGACGCGATGAGTCTCTGACTTTTAACATCCTCAGAGGCAGCACATATGTTTGCAGCCGGCACTTCATTGAGGCGGATTACACTGCCGCCACAGGCCGAAAGCGCCTCAGAAAAGGGGCCGTTCCATCCCGATTCCACTGGAATAACTGGGGAGATTCATCACGACTGACGGTGTACGACGGAGGAGTAGATCGACGGGGACTTGACCCTTCTCAAAACGGCGACATCGTTCCTGAAGTACCACCAAAAGCTGGAGCAGACCACGACTATGCAGTCGCTCCTCTTCCAGGTGACTTATGTTTATTCCTGAAAAGAATTTCTTGATGGACATTTTCCTTTAATGTTTAATAAAATGTATTTCTAAAAAAATGTTTCATACCTAATCATAGTTTCCATTTTATTCAAAACATAATTTAACGTTTCAGGGAAAAAAATACTGTATATTGTCTAATTTTAAAGGCTTCTATAAATAAGGAGTCAACATTCAGATTAACACAAGTGTGTTAAAGTAACTTAAATGTTTACTATAGTAAGTTGCATTTTTACAGATTTTACACTATTGCTAATTTTGCAATAGATTGTGGATAAGGTCAGCTTTTGTTTTACTGCACCATAGATATTTACATTAACGTTAGACAATAAATAAATAAATAAATAGTTACACTAGATATCGCATACGGACCCTGAGCATGCATCAATAGCGCTGCCACAATTATACAGTGCTTCCAGGTCAAGTGTCATTTAACCGCACTAGTCAATAGGGCTGCTCGATTTTGGAAAAAATCATAATCACGATTATTTTGGTGATAATAGTAATCACGATTATTCAAAACGATTACTGTTGAAGCCAAAATTATTAGCGCTTCTGAGAATAAAAATAAATATATATATATATATATATATATATATATATATATATATATATATATATATATATATATATATATATATACAGGGCTCGAAATTAACTTTTTTGTTTGGTAGCACCGGTGCTCCCAACTTCAAAAATTTAGGAGCACCAGAAAAAATTTAGGAGCACCAGAAAAAATTTAGGAGCACCCACCAAAAATGATTGAGCACCGCTGCAAATTGTATTTTAAGGGACTTATTGTATTTTAAAACAACATCAATTAGGACATCTAACTAATGCTGAGATGACATTGATATTTGTGTGCAATAATTCCAAAATGTGTATGTATTATAATTCTAGAATATTAATGATGATGAAAATGACAATAATAGTAACAATGAATTACATTTGTCATCATCATGCTGCCTTGAATGTGCTTGAATGCAAGTTATCTGCTATAAAAAGTCTGTTACTTTATGAAAAATAAATGTATAGTTTGCATCAAACAAAAATTAAGCATTGCAGTAAGAAATATTTATTTTGTACTGCTAAACAGCATATATATGCATGTCAGTTTAATAAATATTTCTGCTGCAAAACAAACAAAAGATTATAATAAAATATTAAATTCAAGGCTGAAAGCTGCAAAACAGTCATCAGTAACTAAATAAAAAATAATAATATACACCTCAAGAAAGAATAGGCAAAAGAAAGGAAGTAAAGTCTCACTTCTATCACTCTTTAAAAGTTTTGGTTTCAGTTTGTGTCAATTTAAATGTTCCGTCTGAGCTGATCTTCATTTTTCTGTGTTTGTGGAAAAGCAGGCGAGTCAGCCGGCCCAATTTATGAGCAGGTTGAGCATCGGCGCAATACCGCTGTTTGTTATGAGACGCAGTTTCAGTGTAAACTTAGTAAAGGCGAGCTTCTTTGGCGATGATACAGTATTAGATTTGACTTTTAGCGGACATTTGTGCTAAACACGCAGTGAATGCAACACATGGAGATTCGGACACCTTCTCCAAGAAGCGCGTACTCTATTGATCTCAGCTGGCGGATCAATATTCACCACGTGACGTGTCATGATCGCTCTCATCTGCGCCTCAACTTTAGGTGGGGTTTGCACTTTGCAAACCTGCGTGCTTTAAGTTTTCACTCTTTAGCCGTTTGCATTTCCCGTGGACATAAAAGCTCCCTCCCTGTCATCTAACAGTGAAAAGCCTTGAGTGAATGACAGCTAATATGAACCAATATAGCGGCAGGGAAGAGCGATTCAGCACGTTTTTAAAAAAAAATCAAAACAGGTCGCACTAATGCGGCCAAATATATTATGAGGTCGCATCGATTAATTTTCGGGCGCATATGCGACCAAAATGGTCGCAATTTCGAGCCCTGATATATATATATATATATATATATATATATATATATATATATATATATATATATATATATATATATATATATATATATATTTTTTTTTTTTTTTTTTATTTAATTTTTTTCCCAAATGATGTTTAACAGAGCAAGGAATTTTAACAGTATTTCCTATAATATTTTTTTTTTCTTCTGGAGAAAGTCATATTTGTTTTATTTCGGCTAGAGTAAAAGCATGTTTAAATATTTTGAAACCCATTTTAAGGTGAATATTATTAGCCCCTTTAGGCAATATATATTTTTTATTGTCTGCAGAAGAAACTACTGTTATACAATGACCTGCCTAATTACACTAATTAAGCCTTTGAATGCTTGTATTTTGAAAAATATCTAGTCAAATATTATGTGCTGTCAAAGCAAAGATAAAAGAAATCAGTCATTAGAAATGAGTTGTTATTGGAAATGTGGTGAAAAAAATTTGAATGGTTGTATTTTGAAAAATATTTAGTCAAATATTATGTGCTGTCAAAGCAAAGATAAAAGAAATCAGTTATTAGAAATGAGTTATTAAAACTATTGGAAATGTGTTGAAAAAAATCTTCTTTCCATTAAACAGAAATTGGGAGAAATGGGTTGCTAATATTCAGGAGAGCTAATAATTCTGACTTGAACTGTATATATACAGTTATTTTCCTCCCTGCAAAGAAAAAGGAAAGACAAATAAATACAATTGAATAAAAATATGAAACAAACGGTGCTTTAAGCATCTTCACTGGAAGAAAAACACTTAAGCTACAAAAGTCCAGTCAAGAGCAGCGAGGGATTTTCTCCTTTTCTTATTTAATTAATAATGATCGAAACAGGTGGGAGTAGGAATTGCGCGCTGCCACTTTAATGGTTTCGCTTTCACATTTCTTTTGATCCTCAACTCGTTTGTTTATTACACAAATGAGGGTTAATATGAATAATCACTAAACTGCATTTTGACACCTATTTGACCATTAAAGCGCTCACATTAAGATGACTTTAGATGCTCTGCTCGTCACACTGTGTGAATGAGCACAACCGTCTGCAGCCCGCACTGCACACTGTGAGAAGCAAAACCGCATGCTTCACACACAGGAGTATGCGGTTTAGTTCGCGCCTTTAAGAGCAAAACGTTTGGAACTAGAAAGGGGGCGGTAAATAATGGAATAATCGTTTATCTCGATTTATAGTTTTTCATAATCGTTAGAGGCCAAAATCGAAATCGGATTTTCGATTAATTGCACAGCCCTACTAGTCAAGACCAAAGTCAATGTGAAGATGCTGAACTTTAGCGCAGGGTACGGGTGTAATGACGAGCAAACAAAGGCAGAACATTTCATAGGTAAGATTTAGTTTTTTGCAATTTTGTATGTTGTGAACTTTTGTGCTCAACAATTAACGTTATTAATGATAATACTGTCACCTACTGCATTCACTATAAGGCAAAGGAGCACCAACTCACACTAAATTGTATGCGTATGCTAGTTTTGTTGAATAAAATAAGCAAACAATGTAAAAGAAATATGACAAGAAGACGCTGCGTTGCCAGAAACTTGTATTATTGTCAGATAAGTGAACGAGTCATTCATGACAGATTCATTCACAAACGAATCACTCCCTCTGTCACAATGAGAAGTGAAAGCAGAAGAGAGGCTGTTTCAGAACACAAATTAGATCAAATTAAACAGGCAAAGAGGTAATACACAAATACATATGGCCAGGCCCGGCCCTAACCAATTTGGCGCCCTTGGCAAGATTTCAGGTGGCGCCCCGTCACATTGCAGTAAATTCCACTGCTAGTGTAAAGTCATAAGAAACTAAACAGCTTTTTGATCGACTACAACAAGCTGGGAAAATGTCAGATAAATATGCCAATGCAATTAACATTATTGCTGAATAGATCTAATATTTACACATTTGCTTGAGGAAGGAATGATGGGGTAGTTACATTAATTTTACTATTTTCCAAAACATCTATGCCCTTCCATAACATTAGTATTGTAACATTAACATTGTATTCTATAGCTATTTAATGATTAGCAATGTTATGTCATATCTATCAACATTGGGGTGTTAAAATATGGGACAACAAATAGATTCAAATGATAGAATACATAGCAAACAATAGAAAATATTGACAATAAAATAAAATGTTTATCCTATTAAAATCAATGGCCTATACAGAAATTAAATAAAGCTATAAAATCTATTTAACTTTTAATTGTATTAGCATATTGATTAAAATTACTATAGTTATTTAGTGAAGAGCAGCAAATGAATCTCTCATTGTGTTTTGTTTGATAACAGAGGTGTTAATGTAAGAATGCACCGATCTATAATGAATGAATGAATGAAGCATTTGACTACTTTAGTAACTGTTGTGCTCATTTAAGAGAAAATTAGTTGTGTTTAAAATAAAACAAGCAGGATAGAGCAAAAAAAAAATAAAACGAAAAAAAGAAGCACTTTTCCGACGGCCCCTTACGGAGAGCTCCGCTCACAGCTCTCCCGGCTAAACGCATATGCCAGGCTAAACAGAGCAGTGCTCGTAATATCGAGCGAAAAAAAAGAAAAAGACAGCTGTGAAACATAACCAGCTTTGTCTTTTTGTAGGAAACACACTTTAGATCTTTTTAGGGTAAGAGGTTTTTGAGTTTATGCCATCTATCACTGAATGTGTGTCAGGAATATTAAAAACAAAATTAACTTACCCCCGCTCATTTCTGGTGCCCCCTGGATGTACAGCGCCCTTAGCATTTGCCTATACTGCCTATGCCACGTGCCGGCCCTGCATACGGCTCTTGACGCATTCCTTCTAATAGACAACATCAGGGTAGGCAACAGCCAATGTATATATCTACGATACTGCATAGCATGTCACAATTAGCCCTTTGCTAAGCCTTGCCCTCCCTAGTTACTGTTGCTACGCTTGTCAAGCTTTCGTGCCTGGCACGTCTATTACAATATGTATGCACAGCAGGAGAGGTGAATTTTAAAAATAATCTAATAATAACAAATTAAACCACGATTTTTTTTTCTTAGCCAAAAAACCTGATACAGGGCTCAAAATTGCGACTGTTTTTGGCGCATATGCACCCGAAATTTTATCTATGCAACCTCAAAATATATTTGGGAGCATTTGTGCGAGTGCATAAAATTGATGTGGTGCGACCAGTTTTCACAGCAAAATGTTCACCACTTGCGTAAATTTAGGAGGCATTCACACATTAAGCATCTTTGCACCTAAAAACACCAAATCCAGAGCTCAGGAATGATTTAAAACAGTTGACATGTCAACTTGATGCAGTAAACAAAGCCCACAATGCTTGCTCCGCCTTCAAGCTCTTCTTATTGGCCCACTGCGCTAGAACAGAACGCGAATGGATTGGTTAATATCAGCTTTTAATCACTCAGTTCTAATTACAGGGAGCTACAGCCGTGAAAATGTAAAGGTCTGGATACGAGAGAATAAAAACAACACTGACAGATTTAGTTTTAGAAACCACCTAAAGTTACAAATAATGACACATCTGATTAGTGATCATGTGCTGAATGTCAATCCAGCATTTACACTTTTTGAAGAAAAGATAAAGGGCTTCCTGTGTTTAAAGTCGGCTATAAAAATGGCTAAAGCCAATCACAGTAAAGCCAGTGGGATGGAGTTTTTAGTTAACAGTGTTAACGTTATTTAATGCTTCATTTAATCGTCACAATGCTGTGAGTCGTGTGACTGACACCCCATTCACCATCCCTCAAGAGCATAAATTCACTGAGATGAAACTAATATTGCAGCTCATGAAAAGATTGTTATTGCTATTAAGATGACGTATGCAAATAATAAGTTATATGTCCATATCATCTTTGCAATATCAGACTCCGCCCGTGAGAACAGCACAGTGAGAACATTCACGTCAAGCAGTGTGTGCAGGGCCGGTGAGCACATGCAGATTTTTATTTTATTTGTTAGATGTGATTAGAGTGTTAATTTATAATAGAATCTGTTAATATAAAACGTGTAGTAGTAACGGTGCTCATTTTTCTTCGGTGCGCAAACATTTGTGAATTCAGGAGCACCGGTGCTACCTAGAAAAAGAGCTTAATTTCGAGCCCTGCTGATAGACGAGTTGTTGTGCAATGAGATACAGCGTTACTAACTGACGAGGAAACAAGCATGGACAGTGCTTCTACATAGTTCGTTCATACAAAGAACAACCAGTAAGGGGAAATTGATGGATTTGTGCCAAATATTAGCATCATTGACAAATAACAATGTACAATACCCATAACTATCAGTATGTTTGTGTGCTGTTTATCCATTTCTATTCTAATTTGTAGTTAGGTGGAAAAAAATAAGTAAATTGAAATCAAATCAAAGTATACATAGCAGAAGTGAACAAATAAATTTTCCCTACCAGCAAATATTCCGACATCAAATATAAAAGCAGACACCAACTCGCTATAACGTCGTCACCAATGACTAAATCTCCAAAAGACTGATGAAAACATCAGTGAATTGTAGCTCTGACATGGACATCGAGGATTATAAATTACTCAAAAACAGCTTCGGATATATTGTATGATCAAGTATATTGATCATAAGTGCTCAGATTGTGATCATATCTCGGTTTTTGTTCTCTTGATATGTAATTTCAAATATTTGCAGCTTGAAACAGATGGGATTACGATTGCTATTAGTATTAATACTACTGTTGTGAATGCTTAAACGCAGCTCATAATATCGAGCGAGAAAAAAAGAAAGAAAAAGACAGCTGTGAAACATAACCTGCTTTTGTATTTTTTTATTTATTTTAGGAAACAGTTTAGATCTGTTTAGGGTAAAAGAGGTGTGTGAGTTATTGCAGTCTATCACTGAATGTTCCAGAAATATCGAAAACAGACCAACTTAACTCCGTTCCTTCAGTGCCCCTCACAGAGCTTGATCCATTCTGGCATTTCTCCCTTTGGGGAAAAAATGTCACCACTCCAGCCAAACTTTTAGGATAACCAAGTATCAGATTTGCACAATTCATATGCACAACGCTTTGGCTTGTTTTGCTCACTCAAAAGCTTGACAGGCCTCCTGCTAGGTTGCTAAACCATGATTGGTGTGGGGCGGTTTTTGTGTGTGGCTTAGCGAAGGGTCAATTCTGCACGTTTGTCAGACTTCAGACAAGTTAGATTCTTTTTTTGCCCTATTTTTAATGTACTCATTTTTGTGAATGTAGGTGCACAGGATGCAGCAGCAGCACGTATACAGGAACTTGAAGCTGAAGTCAGAAGACTGGAAACTGAGCTGGGGCAGCTGAAAATAAACCAATCTCTGTCACAGTTTCAGAGATTTTGTGCTTCAGATGAAGACATACGTTTTTACACAAGTTTTCCATCTGAAAAAGTCTTCCTAGCATTCTGGAAAGCAATTGAGCCCTCTGCGTCCATGATGGTCTATTGGTCTCTGGCCCAGAAGAAGGGACATACAGCTGGAATGGAAGCTTCTCAAAGCCATCAGCGAAGCCTGCCACTGATTGATGAGTTTTTCCTATACTGCTGTCATGTTTCTGCAGGTCTTAAAGAGAAAATGTTAGCAGACATTTTCAAGATTAGTCTCTCCACAGTAAGTCGTGTCATCATAACCTGGGCTAATTATCTTTACCTGATCTTTGGATCTTTGCCAGTATGGATGAGCAGAAAGCAAGTGAATTCCACAATGCCTGAGAAGTTTAGGTAGTTCTGTCCAGAGGTGCAGGTCATCATCGACTGCATAGAGATAAGGTGCCAGAATCCATCTTCCCTCACACTCCAGTCTGAGGTGAGTTCCTCGTATAAAAAACACCACCACCATCACATTTGTTTCCAGTTCGTTCACTGGTTCCATTTCAGATTAAGAGTTGACAAAACAGTCAGGCACACTCAAGCTGTTGGAACCAGGGGATGCTTGCATGGCTAACAAAGGATTCACCATTGAGAACATTCTGGTGGAGCGAGGGGCCAAACTCATCATACCATCTTTCCAAACAGCAACTCAGTACAGCAAAGAAGATGCTGAGAGAACGCAAGCCATAGCACGCCTTCAAATTCTTGTTGAGAGAGCCATCAGAAGAGTGAAAGAGCTTCGCATCTGCGACACCCCTGTAACCTTGACCATGTCTGGAACAGTTATCCAGCTGTGGACTAACTGCTGCCTGATGAATAATTTTCAGTGGCCGCTTGATATTAAGTCAAGTTTATTTATAAACAAATTTTGAGAGGATCAAGTGCTTATGATTGTCCACAGCTGAGTGGATTACAACCTTTCATCAAAGTTGTTCTAAAACTATTAAACAACATCCATTCTTGTAAAATGTTGAATACTGTGTGTATGTATGTATGTATGTATGTATGTATGTATATATATATATATATTTCATGTACATACATATACAACTATACAAACTGATATACATATATACGCATAATGCATATACTCGTGTATAAATGTCAACAAATGTATATTTTTAAATGTATTATATAAATCTTGAAAAAAATACATTGAATAAATAACATATGTACAACCAATTCCAGACTGACTTATTTAAGCAGTATTACCATTTTATACATTTACACAGTGCAATGTCAAATGAGACCTGTTGCCTCCCCTTACTCCCCTAATGTACTTAAAGAAATAATAAAGGTCCAGGTTCCCTCTTATCTGAGTTATGATGTCATTGGTCCTCCACACTCTTTCCACTGTAATGTCCTCTTTTGTGTCAGTAATGAAGTCATACCAGCTGAGTCCAGTTATACCACGCTGACCTTGAACCTGCCAGTAGTATTTATAGGATTTTTCAGGGTTGCCTGTCCATTAACAAACTTAATATGCTTAGCTTCTAAAACTCTAAGCACATCTGGACATTGCACCTCAACAAGGCCAAAACAGGGATCTAAATTAGGATCATAAACTCCGGCATCAGGACTGGCTCCAAGGTAAGGGGCATCTGGATGTACCACAAAACCACAAGGTAACACATTAGCATTAAACAAATTTGAGTAACGTAGAAGAACCTCAGATTCCTTATCAAGGCCTCTTTTCATAGCCTTTGTTTGCTTTGCACCCATGAGTATTCGCCTTGCCAGTGCCAGGACTGATGTCTTCCCTCACACGTGACAAACCTCAGGAAATCTGCTAGCTGTGACTCTTGGGCTGCGCATGTCTATCCACAACAGACAGTCAGACTGGTCTCAGTTTGCTCTTCTATTTAAGATGCCAACTCCTGTGAGACTCCAAATGAAGGAACTTATGGCAATGTGGGACAAAGTGCAGGATCCTTGGAAACGCATCACCATCAATTGGGAGTTTTGGGAACAAAGGAGCATCAGCATCAGGGAGCATCAGTTTTACCTCATTTCTGGAGATGACATTAGGGCACTGGTTGGAGAGCACATAGCCTCTGAGCACAGGACCAAATCGAGTCCACCAAACACAGTTCAGAGAAATCATTAAGAACATTGGAAGTCAGAGGTTGAGGTGTGAGTCCTTTAACAGTTTCTCCAACAACTTGTACTGCTGGGTCAAGGAGGGGACCTATAACAAATTACATGATTAAAAAAGAAATCAAGTTAGATAAGCAAATTAATAAATCACAGCAGTACAACATTTGTTACGTAATACAAAATTCATTCAGGGATTTTCAAATTCACACAAAAGAGAGGGTGGACAAACTTTTGCACAGACTATTATTCAGTTTAATTTAATTTCACAAATCTCGATACTACTACACATGATAATATCTAGCTTTCGCTACACTGTAAAACGCCAAAAGTTAAGGTAACTCAAACCATTTGAGGAAACGGATTGCAACAAACCATTTAAGTACAAAATCCATTCCTAATGAGTATGGTGAACTTCATCCATTTGATTAAATGAAGCAATTTGAGCAAAGTAAACCCAATAAATGAACAGAACTCAAACCAACTGAGTACTGTAAAACTCAATAAGCTAAGGCAACTCAAACCATTTGAGGAAAACCGATTGCAACAAACCATTTTAAGTTCAGAAACTAATCTATATGACTACTGTGAACTTGCTCCATTTAAGTTAAAGTAAAGAGGTATTTAATTAACTCATTACCTTCAACACTAAGTTCAAAACTCTTTTCAAATCATATAACTTCACTCATTTCATTTGATAAAGTGGACTGTTGGGCTTTAAAGTGTAAAAGCCGAATGGCATATCACTCCAATCTTCTCTTATAAAGAAAGAGCACATTACTATGCAGCCACAGAGGGGTGCCCAAACCTTTGCATAAAACTGTATACAGCTGAAGTTATTAGCCTTCTTGAGTTATTAGACGCCTGTATATTTTCACCCAATTTCTATTTAACGGAAATACTTTTTTAACACATTTCTAAGCATAATAGCTTTAATAATTAATTTCTAACTGATTTATTTTATCTTTGCCATCATGACAGCACATAATGTACTAGATATTTTTCAAGATGCTAGTGTCCATTTTAAAGGCTTAATTAATTAGGCAATTTAGAGTAAGTAGGCAAGTCATTGTATAAAGGTGGTTTGTTCTGTAGAAAATGAAAGAATAAAAATAAAAGGTATAACAATATTTATCTTAAAATGTTTTATAAAACTGCTTTTATTCTAGCTGAAACAAAACAAATAAGAAGCAAAAAATCCCTGAAAGAAAAGAAATTGGAAATACTGCGAAAAAGTCCTTGCTCTGTTAAACATCATTTGGGATATATTAGAAAAAACTAGAATAAATTGATTTCAACTGTACTTATGTACATATATGCAATTTATATTCCAAAATATTGATTTTTTTATATTACAACCCCAAATCAGAAAAGGTTGGGAGAGTATGGAAAATGCACATAAAAAAGAAGGGATTTCCAAATTTACTTTGACTTGTAATTTATTGCAGACAGTACAACAAACATTGTTTAATGTGTTTCTGATTATTTTTATTAACATTAAAAAAACAAACAAACATGTATTAGAAGTTTGGGATAGGAGCAATTAGTAATCGTAGATAGTACGAAGATAGTAATCGTGTAAATAGTGATGTGATTTGAAACAGGTGATGTCAACAGATGATTACAATTACGATTTGGTAGAAAGGCGGCATCCAAGAAAGGTCTAATCCTTTAGGAGCAAAAATGGGCTGAGGATCGCCAGTTTGCCAACAAATACGTAAGAAAGTTATTGAAATGTTTAAGAACAATGTTCCTCAAGGGAAAAAAAGGAAGACAGTTGTACATTTCACCTTCAACAGCATAAGATAGCATTTCATAAGTCATTCATTCATTTTCTTTTTGGCTTAGTCCCTTTAGTAAACTGGGGTCGCCACAGCAGAAGAACCGCCAACTTATCCAGCACATGTTTTACACAGCGGATGCTCTTTCAGCTGCAACCCGTCCCTAGGAAACATTACATAATAAAAAGATTCAATCAATCTGGAGAAATGTCAGTGCTTGAAGGACAATGGCGTTAGTCTAAAGGGAACTATTGTGATCTCTGATCTCTCAGGCAGCACTGCATCAAGAGTCAACATTCATCTGTAAATGATATCAGCACATGGGCTCAGGACTACTTTGACAATCGTTTGTCAAGTACCAAAATAAGTAGCTGCATCCACAAATATGGGATAGGTATAATGTAAATATGGACACCTATGTTAATTGTGTCGTCGGCACAGTGGAAATGTGTACTGTGGTCAGATGAATCAGTATTTTAGGTATTTTTTTTTGTGGGAAAACAATGTCTTCAGTCTCTTAAAGTGTTGTGAGAAAGAAAGACAACATTACAAAGTGGTAAATGCTTTACTGTTCCAACTTTTAAAAAAAATGCCCTGCAAGAACCAATAATGGAATATGTGTTTATCTTGAAAAATAAATAAATAAAAATTACACAGTAACATATTAAGTAATGTTTGTTCTATTGTCTGCAATGAAATACAAGCTGTGTTTTTGACCCTCGCTTTGTTTATTGTTCATGTTGCTTTGCTGCCCGTCCCGACTAATTACTTGTGACTTCAAAAATAATCATTTACTAAATAAACTGCATTTGGATCCTCACTTCTGTCACTATCCTGTTTCTTTAAGGCTGATCTATACTTCTGCATCAAGCGTACACGTAGGCTGAGTTGGGTCATTGTGTTTTTGGGCGCCGGTGTCCTCCTTGGTGATGAGTATTTTCTTAGATTGCTTTCTATTCAAGTGCTTGAACAAGTTGCTGGTTAAGCAGTCGAAAGTTCTTTAGACTGAGTCTCACAGCAATATTTTAGTTTTTACGCTCAATGAAATCAAAGTAATGTCTGTATTTCCACTTGAAGAAGCAACCAATCTTTTCATATACAGTTGAAGTCAGAGTTATTAGCCCCTCCTGTTTATTTTTCTCCAATTTCTGTTTAACAGAGAGAAGTTTTTTTTTTCAGCAGAAACATAATAGTTTTATTAACTAATTTCTAATTAATGATTTATATTATCTTTGCCATGATGATAATATTTTACGAGATATTTTAAAGACAATTCTATACAGCTTAAAAGCTGACATTTTAAGGCTTAACTAGGTTATAGGTTAACTATGCAGGATAAGGTAATTAGGCAAGTTGGTGTATAAAGGTGCTAATAATTTTGACCTTAAAATGGTGTTTAAAAAATTAAAAACTGCTTTTATTCTAGCTGAAATAAAACAAAAAAGACTTTCTACAGAAGAAAAAAATATTATCAGAAATACTGTGAAAATTTCCTTGCTCTGATAAACGTCATTTGGGAAATATTTAAAAAAAAATAAAAATTCAACTGGGCTAATACTTCGACTTCAACTATATATATATATATATATATATATATATATATATATATATATATATATATATATATATATATATATATATATATATATATATATATATATAATTATTATTATTATTAATTAATAATTTTTTTTGCATGATTCTGTTGATCATCCTCAGTCCTGATTAAAACTACTAAATTTTAATCAAAAAATGTAATTTGTAAGTTTAGAAAATTACAGAATTCACAAGTTCACTATTGATGTCACTGATTTAGTAAAAGACACACACAATTATGTATTTTTTAATAAAAAGGGAGTTGTGGACTGGATTAAAAAAAACAAAACTTTTTACCACTGTCTTGGACATGTGAGTGATTAGTAACAACATTGGCTTTGATTAATTGTTAGATTTAAAAGATGTTCTCCCTAATGTTCTGTTGGTGGCTGTTTTTGCTCCGTTGACTTATAACCTTATTTGATGGTGTATAAATATGCAGTCTTTATGT